CAAAGTAAGAGAGTTAAATTGATTTGTGTTTCTTTTTTCTCTAATCTCATACTAGTCAGATGAGCAGCTGAATAGGCCATTGTTGTTGAGTTTCCACACAGCCTGATCTGACAGTTGAATCTGTTGAGGTATATATGTTGCAAGAATGTTGGCTAATTGACATAATGGTTCTTGTTCCACTAGTTGGCTCCAATTTCGTTGTCTTTCATGTCCAAATTCAGCCACTTTTTTGTTATTAAACATGTTACTGTGTGTGGAAAATTGAGCAACTGGTCCATTGCCAAGACAATTGTCCCACCAGAAAGAGCAGCTTCCAGACTTGAGTTTCCATTAGATGTGCTTTTCTACTTGTTGTCTGTTTTGCATCATATATTTCCAGGTTAATGACTCCTCATTGTCCCATTTCTTGCACATAGGATTGTCTCTTTGACAGTACTTTGCCTTCAAGAACTCACCTCAAAGTGTTTGTTTGGTCCTAAAGATACACCATTGTTTAAATTAGAAGGCCATGCAAACATCTTTGATGTTCCTTATTTCAACACCCCCTAAACCATAAGGGAAACTAATGTTTTTCAGAGATGCCCAATGACATTTCTTCCTATTGCTTTTCCATCCCCAGAAGAAGTCAGCCATAAGCATTTGGATTTGCTTAAAGGTTATGGAAGGTGGGGTGACAGCAGACAGTAATTAGATAGGGAGAGCTTGAAGTACATGCTTAGCTAGGATTACCCTACCCCATAACTTAAATGCTTCGTTTGCCAACCTGTGATCCTGCATACAAAATTGCTTACAAGGTCAAAAAAATATATAATTCTAAGCCTACCAATGAAAAGAGAACAACCTAGATAAACTAAAGGAACCTGTTTTTGCCTGAAACCAGTATATCTTTTGATTCTATCAATTGTGTTATTGAAGGCATTTGAATGAACCATAAAGTTACTTCTGTCACCATTGATAAGTTATCCAAAACTCTCTTCATAAGTAATCAAAGTATGCATGAGAATATATAAGGTTTTATATCTTCTAGAGGACAATAAAATGATGTCATCGGCAAAGCTTAAATGATTCATCTGAGGCCCTCTCTTTTCCATGTAAAGCCATGATAATAAGGGTGGTTGTGAAGTCTATTGAGGGACCTTGACAGAACTTCAGCACCTTAAATCAATAGGGCTAGGGACAGTGGGTCACCCTATTTAAGTCCTCTAGTGGATTGGACGAAAACATAACTCTTCCCATTGATTATAATTAAGCGCCAATTGTTTGCCATAATTCTCCATACCATGTGAATTAACACCTGAGAGAAGTTCATCTTCCTTAGAACAACACACGTGTATGACCAAGAAACTCTGTAATAGGCTTTTGCCATGTTTCATTTAATAATAACATAGCTCCCATTATTGGGATTCTTGATTTGGTGGATGATTTCCTAAGCTAGCATGATGTTATGTGAAATACTTCTACCCTTTACAAACACAAACTAATTAGGAGAGATTAAGGATGGAAGAATAGGCCCAAGATTGTTGCTCAATAGCATAGAAATAATCTTACTTGTAAAGTTTCTAAAACTTATAGGTCTAAACTCAGTCAACTTACTGGGATTTTTCACTTTTTGAAGCAATACAATTCAATAATGCTCAAAATTCATGATCACTGCCTCTAGTGGCTCAACACCGAGACTCTCTTCTATTTGTACCTCAGAAAAACTCTCAACCTTGTAGGATATTGCAGACACCGATTAGAGCTCACCATTCTGCCTCATTGACCTACAAATGTTGAAATTCGCTTCTTCATTGTTCAATCGAAACTTCACGGACTCCCAAGAATAATAGGCACCTCAAAGTCAACCTCACAATCAAGAATCACAAAATCGACATGAAAAATAAATGGCTCAACTTTTAATAGCACATCATAGAGTATCCCAATAGGCATCTTCACCGTTAAATCAGTCATCAGTAGCCGTATCACAGTGGGTTTTGGGTCATCTAAACCAAACATATTGTAAATAGAGAGAGGCATGAGATTTATGTTTGCCCTAAGACCACATAATGCTTTACCAAAGTGTAACACCCCGATTATACATTGAATAGTAAAAGCACCGGCTCTTCTTTTTTTTTGCACTCGAGACCTTGTAGAAATAGCACTACACTGTGGCATCTGATAATAATCCTCAAAACTAACCACTTTCTTCTTAGTGAACATATCTTTTATGAACTTGGCATTATCGGGAATTTGTTCAAAAGCTTCTATCAAAGGGATATTGATGCAAAGCTATTTCAACATAGTAATAAAATGCATGTATTTACCATCCTCGGACTTTTTCACCAATATTTGCGGAAATGGGAGTGGTGATCTATGAATCGGAGTATATTTTGGGGGTGTCTCAGCTTCTTTCCCCAATTTATCTACCAACTCACCACTAACTTCCTCTACCTCATCATCTTCTCTCTTCTCATCTTCGACGCCTGACGGCATAGGTTGATCTATGGTCTTCTTACCCCCTATGGTAGTGACTATCATACAACGTCCATCATTTTTCAGATTCACAACAATATTGCTAGGAAGAATACCCGGTTGGCGTGAATTCACAGTAGAAGAAAATTGGGCCATTTGCAACTCGAGATACTTGATTGAGAAAACATGTGCATCCACCTTTTACCAAATATTTTCTTAATCGCATCTCAACTCTTTGGTGTGCTCATCACTAGCATCAAACATCCTCATCATCTTCTGCAACATATGCTCAACTTGCGTCATACTACCTCCACCATCCCTAGGAGAAACTTCCACATTTTGAGGTGGAAAATAGGGCCCACTAGGATCGTATTTGTTCCCATACTTACCCCAATTGAAGTTGTTTTCGCGGATGTAGTTGTCATCTCAAACATAGACCCTCTCGCTTGTAATTCTCATAGTTTCGACCTTGATTTCCTTGATCTTGGCGTCAATTTTCCTGATTGAAGCCTTAGGCGTTTAGCCGGAAACATCCCTGTTTGCTCATTCACTGCATAAGAATCTTCTTCATAAAAGTACTCATCAATCGATAGTGGTGGTTTAGCGTAATAGTTCACCGCATTGACCTTTTTTGAACCCCCGGTAATATGTTTTAATACAAAGCCAAGCTCAGTTCTCATTTGAGTCATCTCTTCACGAATCTCATCTCCTGCTAGGTTATGTGAGGCTTGCACTGCAAAAGTGTTTCTCCCAATATTCGACTTCCTAGTGCTCCACGCTTTATTATTTCGAGAGATTTTCTCTAACTTGTCTGCGATCTCTGCATAAGTATACTCCACATAAGAACCACTCTCAATCGTATCAAGCAATGCTTTAGTATTATCATCTTTCCCCTATAGAAGTACTCTTTTGGTGACTAATAATCAATGCGGTGCTTTGGGATACTTCTCAAGAATGAGATGAACCTATCCGAAGAACTGCTTACTAACTCCCCCGGTAATGTCACAAAGTTGTTCACCCTATTTTTGTGGTTTAGCTTTTTAGAAACCGGGTAATACCTCGCTAGGAACACATCCTTCAATTGCTCCCAAGTATAGATTGAATTGTAGGGAAACTCATTAAACCAAATTGCGGCCTCCCCCCGTTAATGAGAAAGGGAACACCCTTATTCCAACTACATCCATGTCTAAGTCTGCCCTCACTACACAACTCCTACACACGGACCTTAGTTTGGCGATGTGAGCATGTGGAACCTCAAATGGTAGCCCAAAAAACAAATCTCTAATGGTGAGCATCTGCATCAAGCTTCTAGTTACCACAAATGTATGACCATGTGGTAGAGGAGGTAGGATAAGTGGCCCATCAGAGTCAAGGATGTTAACATTTCCCCTATAGTACTCTTGAGGGTGTGGGGCGGGAGGTTGCCTCCTTGGATTACCTTCACCAAGGTTATCAACAACCACTAGATTATGAGCATCAACAAGCCGGGGAAGCTGAGGGTTGATATCATCATCGATATCAGCAAGATTGTTTTGAATATTCATTCTGTTAATTGTGCGGTTTAGCTCTGGATCAAGTGGGAGTATTGGTTCTCCTCGACTCCATGTACTTGGCATACACTAAAGCTAGACCTACGAGAGACAAAACCAAAATTTAAAAAAAAGTAAAATAAGGAAATTGTTGACTAAAATTCGGTAATCTGCTTAAAGTTGATAGCCACTTTCCCTGAAGCGGAGCTAGAATTTGATACACTCAAACTATACTTTCCTAAAGAAGTATAAGCGACCGTATCAAATAAAGAATCCAAATGTTTTTTTTGGGGTCGATCCTACGAGGAAAATGGTTTAGAAATAACTTTAATGTACGATTACATCTATTTAAGTCAAGTCCTTTCCTGAAACAAACAATTAAAGGGGGGTTTGTGTAACAAATGTAATTAATTAAGGCTAAGTAAACAAGTAGCTAGTTCAAATATTTGATGTTTATCAAATGATGAGTGAAACAAGGGTGTAAGTGTTCCCCATAGGTTCATAGATAAATAACCCTAGCTATAACAGTTCTTTCCTAATATCTTGCATGCAAAGTGGTAAGTTATGAATCTCTAATTCCTTTGTCCGGCAACTAGTTAATTTCACTCCGCACTTTGGTCCGGTTACGTGTGTATACTTTACTAATCCTTATCTTTTACCTCATATTAAGCATAATAATCGATGTATGGCTTAGTTATTACTTCGCACCAATCGACACTAGTCTAATACATAGTGTATACTAAATCTACGTTGATAATTCTTTTCTTATTATCTACATCCTTGATCCAGCAAGTAGCAACAAGGGGAGTTCTAACATTGGCCATCGTTAAAAAGAATTCTAAACGAAAGAATTATCAATAAATGCAAGACACTATTCTAGAATTGTTATTTTAGCTGGTTCTACTTTGTTAGTTACCCATGGTTCCCACAACCCTAGTTGTGGATTAAGTTACCCATGTTAAGAATTACACAATGCATATTGATTAGACAAGAATTCATGTACTTAAATTAACAAGTTTGAAAAAAATCCAGAAAAGCACTTGAATTAATCAAATTATTGTAAGAATCGATTCTTAAAAGTGAAGTATTTTCCAAAATCCAAAGTTCAACAACCAACAATCCAAATTTGAAAATTAACAAAGAGTCCTACCCCAAAAATGAGGTTTTTGGTCCTATTTATAATAAAAGAATCCTAAACATAAAGGGAAACCTAAATATGGAAATATGTCCAAAAATGTGTCTAACGTCAATGACCTTACCGACGGAGCGTCGAGGCAGCGACGGATCTTCAACACCTCCGTCGGTCCATACTTTAACTATATTTTTAGCTGCTTTCTTATCCAAGTGTCTGTTACCATCAACAGACCAAGACGACGATCCGTTGATATGACGATGGGCCATCGATGGCCTTCGTTGCCCCACACTTAGAATCTTTTCAAATCAGGTACTGGGGCTGCATGTTGTTAACACCAACGGATCACCAGGACAGACCGTCATGCCTTTCATAGACCCACACTTAGTAGGAATCCCCCGATCTTTCCTTGGCAGCATAACATCTTCATGGCGACGGTTGCCACCTACGGACCGTCGATGGGTCGTTGGACCGTTGATGGCTCCGTAGGTCATCTTTTATGTAATTTTCAGCACATCTTCAGCGTTTTCATTCTGGACAGTTTGTCCTGCAAAAACAAAGAAAAATTTATTAAAACTACTTCAAAGAGGCCTTGAACACACACTAAACTTAAGGAAAAAGCATTGGAAGTACCGTGAAACCACGGTACATCAACACCCTCAACTTAAATTCGTTGTTTATCCTCAAGCGACAAACTATGACTCACCACAAAAACCTTTGTATAAAAGTATCACTATTTTATCTTTCACAATCATCTGGCTAGCAATTTCGATTATTTTCATTATGTTCATGCATGATATTACTATTAGGCTAACTTATGTGGATCAGACCATGACACAGACTAATGATGCACCGACTCCTCTTTTATCTCTCACGAAGGTGCCAACTCTGCAGTATTGCAACTAGTGCCTTTCTTTAAAAGCAATATCCTCCTTTTCACACATGATTTCAATTTGAGTATAAGTATTATTTTTTTCAACACTCACTCTCAAAATAACTTATCACCTCATTGGTACTTTGTCATCATATGCTTGCCCTTTTTTCACTGCTTTAAGTTCACCATATTAGACTCTCCTGATCACAATAGAACTTTCTTAGCTTATAATATAGGCTCAGGGTCAGGTAGGGTACAATTGGATGCATTTTAGTGAATTTTTTCCCTCCATGATATAACGGCTAAGCGTCCTACCTTTACGTTGTTTATTCCGCCCTATTCTTAATTTTCTTATATTCTTTTGCCTTGCTTTTCTCCTTTCTTTCTCCTTTTGAGTAAATGACTCTTCTTTTTAATTTTTTTTTAATTTTCAAATTTTTCACTTGATTTCAACTTTGGTTGATTCACTTTTCTTTTCTTCTTTATCTCTCTTTATTCTTTCAACCCCACTTTCTGGAGCATTTCTCATAATAGTCACCCTCAACTCATGGCTTTATCATGAGTCAAGGTACACAATACCGAAGGTTGGGTCATGTCCAAGACGTGGTTGTTTTATGCATTAGCCATCCTCCACATATGCTTTTGGCATAAGCTGAGGTACACATGACCAAGGAGAGACAAGGGCCCACACATTATTCCCAAAAAAGATGAATTTAGGTAGAAAAGAAAGGTCCATCTTAAGCTCAAATCATTTGGATCAAGAAGGGAATAATTTCATTTGGTTTTCTTTTATCTAGGCTAAAGATTTGTTGTCTTTGAACAAAGGTGTATGATCCTTTTCCTATTGTCTATCACATATTACTTTTAGCAGGACTAACCGCGCAACTTCTAGCTCAGTATCAATGGTGGAATACTCAAATTTCCTCACTCACTGAAAACCTCATTACCCTACCAGATTATCAGACACCTAGTTCTAGCTGAAGATTGAGGGTCATGTAGGGGTATATCTCTATGTCATGCTTAGAGCCACACATTCATCATTCACTATGTCTAATCATGCAAGCATTTTCTTTAAATTAGGATATCATTTTATTTATTCATCATGCTTCAGATTTCATATCAATACTATGTACAAGATACTAATGTGTCGGTTCCACAGTAAAGTAAATAGTCTCTTGGAGAAAAAGAACATAGGCAAGAAAACTCCAAGAGAGTATATTGCATTGGGCTATTCAGACTTCACCCTAGCACTAACTTTCCATTTATCCCACCCCCAACAAAAGAGCGTGCAATTGTCCCCGATGCATAAAAAATATAAAACTGAATGGTAGATGAAGTAAACCTGAGGTGCAAAGCACCGATGATCAACAAGGTGGGGGGTCCGATTTCTCGCAATCTGCTCCCTCTGTAGTAGGGACACCGTCAGTAATGTCTGCAACAATAACAACAACCTCAATAGTGATCCTCTCAACATCAGCAATCCTGGAGCTAGATGCCCCAGCAGCCAGCGCTTGAGCCCTCATCTGTCAGGCCTCCTCATTAATCAACGAGGCTCTTCTCGCAGCCTCCAACTCAAGATATTCTCTCTTTCTAGCTCGAGTCTCATCATCCTCTCTAGATCGGTGCCTCTTGGTGTCACGACCCAAATAGGATCGCGACTGGCACCCACACTTACCCTCCTATGTGAGTGAACCAACCAATCTAAACCTTAACATTTCAATGTAATAACAACAGAAAGTAATGCGGAAGACTTAAACTCATTAATAAAAACCAATTCAATAACTATCAATATTCAACATCTATTATTCCCAAAACCTGGAAGTCATCATCACAAGAACATCTACTTTAAACTACTAATTCTAAGAGTTTCTAAGAAGCTAAAAATACATAAGAAGCTAGTCAATGCCGGAAGTTCAAGGCATCAAGAT